TAGTTTAGTTAGTGAGGGTTTTTGTTTGAGTTTTGGTTTCAAAGGATAGATGTAGAGATAGGCCTGGTTTTGTTATGCTTGTTTCTTTGTGTTTGGCGCAATCCTTTGACTCCTCCTCCTCCTCACCAACTAAGGTTTCAGTTATATGTCTGTTCGGTTCTGGGTTTACAAATAAACCTTTTGTAAACCGTTACGCTGACTCCCTCATTAATTATTGGTTGTATGTTATTGTCTCCAGGTCCCCTAGACCTTAGTGGGGACGTAACAAATGGTAAAAACATAATCAACAGTCGTGCATGTTGGTCCAATAAACTCATACGAGCAACATTTGGTCATGTTAGAAACATTACAACAAGATGGTCACACATTCAGTTCAAGGAAATGTCTCTTTACTCTGACTTTGAGACTTGATATTGAAAAATGTGTTGTGAGACATAGGATTCCAGTGAAAGTATTATTGGTGCTAAAGCTTCATCCACTGATACAGAGGAGCATTCCAGCAACATTGCTGTGCTCATCAGGCTCATTTCAGCACTCCAGGTGTTTTTCCATTATTAAAACAGAGAGCTTGGCCAGTAACTACCCAATCATGAGAATATGTGTTAGTGTGTGACCTGACATGGCTGAAGCCCAGTTTCTCGTACAGCGACACAGCAGCGGTCTGAATGGAGCTGGTCTCCAGCACGACCTTGGAGAAGCCTCGCTCCTTACAGAAATCAACCACAGCCTGAACTCAGCCTGAGCGCACACACATAAGTGTGTGGCAAACTGTGAGTGGAGATCCACGGAGCCACGGCTGAGAAAGTGTGTGTGTGTGTGTATTATCATATATTGATATAGGTTAAGCTACCAAGTATTATACAAAATAACTCAAATAAACCCCACTTTTACTGAGTGCAAAATTAAAGTGATGAAGAGATTATTGCATCAATTATTATAATACAATCATTTAAAATATTGTGCCTATATGTGCAATTCTGCATATTGAGTACTTTGTACTTTAAGTATATTTTGATGCTAATACTTCTACTTAAGTACAATTTGTAATGCAGCACTTTTAATTGTAACAGAGAATAAACTGAGTACTTCTTCCATCTCTGTTTATGCATTATTTCACCAGCTATGACAAGATGGTGCATATGAGATATAAATTGTTTATACTGCTGTGTATTTTACACTACAACAATTAATCTTACTAAATCAGGGATGGGCAACTTGGATGGTGGTAGGGGCCACATCATTGATGTACTGGCCACCAGGGGGGCACAGATTCACTTGGAACACACACACACAAATTCCATGTATTGTATGTAATTATTAACAAATATACTAAGTCTGACATCTTCATTGACATTTTACAATCTTTCAGGGAACAGTCTAATAAGCTCACTAAACAATATCAGTTCACAGAAATGTTATTTAATATTTACAAGTGGCATGTTTGTATTGAACATGTTATTTAACAGTGGAATACAACTATTTTTAAACTATTGGAAAGCACGGAAAATGCGTGTGCATTAAGATGAAACATTAAGATGCCATCATGTACGGAGCTCGCGACGTAACTAGGAGTCTAGTGGACGGTATCAGTTCTACAAGTAACACATACGTTTTACTTTTTTTTATTAATTACGTTGTTTCAAAATTGATCTGAGTCCGCAAAAAGAGGAGATCCTTGTACTAAATAAACAAATCTGTAGAAACTGTGTAGAGCCTGCTTATAAAGTTCATAAACTCAGAAGATATTTTGTGTAGTAAAAAATGCAGGGGAAGTGTCATTAAATTGGAAGTACCGAAGTAACATACTAGAAAACATGTATTATACAAACATCCTCAATCAGAGATAATCTAAAATGATAATTTCTCATTATGGGAATATTTTTGGGGATTTATGAGGCTATTGATAATGCAACAGGATGCAGCCTCACTACCCAAACAGAATATGTCTCAACCACATTCAGGTGTCTGTTCACCATCAGCAGGTGTGAGTCCTGCGGGATGGACCCATATACTGTGGATCAGTGGTCCCCAAACTAAGGCCCGCGGGCCGGGTACGGCCCGCCTCCACATTTGGCCCGGCCCCCTGAACAATACCAGAGACGCATTATGAATTTTTTTTTTTTTTTTTTTTTTTTTCAGTCTGGCCACGCGAATCCTAGACTAGCCCCTGTCAAAATGTTGTGCTCTATCGAAATCAGTCGCATTGACCCGAAGACACCTTTTGAGTTGTATACACTGTTGGAAAGAGGATATTCATAGCTTTCTAATGATATCAGGATTGTTTTTGTACTTCAAATATTAAGCGAAATATGTCACATTATATAATGACTGTCATCATTTTGAGAAAAAGGCCTTCAAAGTTGTCTCTTCTCTGGAATCCATCGATCTGATTGATTATTAAATGATCAAAATACTACCGAGGGAAGATATCTTCGTTTGGAGGGGAAGCTCGCGAGTGTGTGTGTGTGTGTGCTTGTGTAATTTTGCGTTTGTGTATTGTGTTTGTTTCCCGGGGAAAACACTCACGAGAAAACACCGGCTGTTGTTATGCCTGCCGTTCTCCGCTTGTAATTATGCCGAAGCTTCAAAGTTGTATTTATCATCTGAATTTGCCGAAACAAGTTTAATATTCTGAAAGCCAAGACTTTGTTTAATTGAAATCAGATGAAAACAAACTGTAACGGACCCTGCAGTGTTATCTATGATTATTATACTCTTACATTCATAATTTCAGCGGAGGGGGGGGGGGGGGGGGGGGCGGCGCTGCGGAAGAGCAGATTGCGAGTGAGAAATAAATAAATTGGAAATAAAAGTTTCATATTCTGAAAGCCAAGACTTTGTTTGTTTAAAATCAAACAAAACACCCGAACCCCGAAAAAATAGTTTTTTTTACGTAAATCCACGTTTATTTTTGAGAGATTCTGCTCTGACAACTAAGCTAAACTTTTACCTGTTAAGATTGTGCACGGCACAACAGAAAGTTACAGTAATTTTCAATGGACTTTTTTTCTGTGAAGAACCCAGAGAGGGTTATTTGGTTATTATGTATTTCATAAATAGTGTTTTTATTTCCTGACTTTTTTCTGTGAAGATCCCGGAAAGGGTTATTAATATTTGGTTATGTGTGGCTTTCTAGAAAACAATAAATGTTTACGTTTAGACACGATGCAATCGTCACACTTTTTCTGTTACAAACTGACGCGGCCCCCATCAGAGAAGGGAAAAGTTATGTGGCCCTCACAGGAAGAAGTTTGGGGACCCCTGCTGTGGATGAACCTGTACGGTCTATGGGTGAAACACATTTTAAATGGATTTCCATGCAGCTGCGCCACCCAGTGGTAGAACATAGAACATAAAATCACACACTGTGAGAGTCAGTGCTTCTTCTTTTTTTAACACTAGTACCCTGGTTATGTGCAGAGGTGGAAGAAGTACTTAGATCTTGTACTTAAGTGAAAGTAGAAGTAACAGAGTGTAGGAATACTCTGTTACAAGTAGAAGTCCTGCTTTCAAAATGTTACTCAAGTAAAAGTAGACAAGTATTAGTATCAAAATATACTTAAAGTACCAAAAGTATTTGGTCCATTACAGAAGGATATGTTTTGATTATAATAATCGATGCCTTTCAAAGCTGGTAAAGGTAATTTAATAACTGTGTATGCTGCAGGGTAGCTTGTGAATTTACGTGTTGTTATATTATACATCATGAATCCAAGTCTGTGGAGTAACTAAAGGTACAAAATATATGTAGTGGATTAAAAGTCAATTTACCTCTGAATAGTGGGGTAGAAGTAAAAATGGAAATACGTACTTAGTTACTTCTCTGGTTATGTGCTTGTACATTTAAATCATTTAAAAGCCATAAAATACATTCTTAAAACTGTACCACATTATGACTTTAAAGACCTTTTGAACATTATAAAAGTGGTTTATGTTATTTAGTTTTATGGGAGACTAAATACAAACAACTGTGATATTGTTTGGAGCCGTCTCAGCCAGGAAGAATAGGGTTATGAGGCTTCATTTAAAAAATATATAAACAGTTGAGGTCCCCATTTGTCTCAGTAACACTTGCGACTCAATAGTGTCTAGTTTTCAATTGCAGTTTTTACATTACAGGATTCTCAGTAATTGACACAATGGTAATGCAAGTTATAATGAGTAAGCAATAAATAACACGTGAATGATGGTTCAACAGAAATAAATAAAGGATTCTACATATATTCAGTACAGCACTCAAATGGGACTTTAATTATTTTTCGTATAGCTTTAACTTTGAATTAAAATGCAGGACTTTGTAAAATATGTGGTATAACTACTTTCTTTAAAGAGGTAAAAGTTTTGAGTATTCATTCAACCTCTGCCTGTCATAGTAAACGCTACCGTACCTTAGAAACACTCCCTCCTTTTAATACCTCTTACAGACTGCCTTTCATTTAAAGCAGTTGTTTTGATGATGATCATACTGTACATAATGATATTTAAGTTACTCAACAGCTTTAAGTGACTAAAACAAAAATAATGAGTGTCTGAAATTTCACTTGAACAGTGAACAATGTACGTGATAAGAGTGGAAGACTGTTTTACTGTCTTTATGGAGAAGTTACAGCTTTATCATTCCTATTAAGTTTGTTGACCTCCTGTAATACCAGGAGAGCTCCACCCAATTTCCACCTGAGGAGAAGTCTAATCAACCACAATATGTACAAAATTAACAAACCCCCAAAGTACACCCTGTAGCAAGTAAAACTCTAACACAGAAAATACCTATCTATGCTGCCCCAGAACGCCTCGTTGGAGATTTGTCTTTTTCCATTTGTTTTTCTTGGGTATAGTGACGTATTTTGGTATAGTTACGTTTGGACCAATCTGCGGACCTCAAAACACACACACACACACACACACACACACACACACACACACACACACACACACACACACACACACACACACACACACACACACACACACACACACACACACACACACACACTGAGACACCTGCTGGACCTGGTGGGAGCACGGTGAGACACACACACACACACACACACACACACTGAGACACCTGCTGGACCTGGTGGGAGCACGGTGAGACACACACACACACACACACACACACACACACACACACACTGAGACACCTGCTGGACCTGGTGGGAGCATGGTGAGACACACACACACACACACACACACACACACACACACACACTGAGACACCTGCTGGACCTGGTGGGAGCACGGTGAGACACACACACACACACCACACACACACACACACACACACACACACTGAGACACCTGCTGGACCTGGTGGGAGCACGGTGAGACACACACACACACACACACACACACACACACACACACTGAGACACCTGCTGGACCTGGTGGAGCACGGTGAGACACACACACACACACACACACTGAGACACCTGCTGGACCTGGTGGGAGCACGGTGAGACACACACACACACACACACACACACACACACACACACACACACTGAGACACCTGCTGGACCTGGTGGGAGCACGGTGAGACACACACACACACACACACACACACACACACACACACACACACACGTGTTCATGACCTAACTCTCTCCCTCTGCAGCATTTTAAACTTCTGAACGTGTGTTTCTTTCTATATGTTTGCTTTCATTGGTTCTTTTTTGGGGTTTCCGATGTATTGATCCTCCTCAGGGGCTAGGGGCTAGGGGTTAGGGGTTAGGGGCTAGGTGTTAGGGGCTAGGGGTTAGGGGCTAGGGGCTAGGGGTTAGGGGTTAGGGGCTAGGGGCTAGGTGTTAGGGGCTAGGGGTTAGGGGCTAGGGGTTAGGGGTTAGGGGACAACTACAGCTTGTCAGACTGAGAGTCCTCTCCCGTCAGACTGAGAGTCCTCTCCCGTCAGACTGAGAGTCCTCTCCCGTCAGACTGAGAGTCCTCTCCCGTCAGACTGAGAGTCCTCTCCCGTCAGACTGAGAGTCCTCTCCCGACAGACTGAGAGTCCTCTCCCGTCAGACTGAGAGTCCTCTCCCGTCAGACTGAGAGTCCTTATAAAAAAATAAGAGAATAAATGAAAAACAGGTATGAAATACTATATGACAGTAAAAGAAGAATAAAGTTTAAAGAGTGATTTGTAAAATATCCATAAAGAAAAAGTAAATCTGTTAACAGGTCTGTTTCATATGTGTTGAGAGATGTCTCCATAGATCTCTTCGCTGCTTTCAAAGTGCACCAGATTGATGCTTTAACTTCAATATTTAAAAATAAATCTTCCAAGGGGAGCTTGCCCCCGGACCCCCCTATGTGAGGTCCACACACCACCTATAAAAATAGCACTTGACCCCTGCTTACACCTCTATGCCGTGAGCTGATCATCGAGCCTTCATGGTAGCAGTCACACTGTGTGTGCGTGGGGAGTGTTGCAGTAGAACAGTCCTCTGTAGCGCCCGGTACATTAATGGGAAACCCTAAATGTTTGAGCACCCTCTATGAAACGTCAAGCTACCCCACGGCACCCCCAAAATAAATCTCTGCGCCGCGTGAGACTGATATTGTGTTGGGGGGGCCCGAACTTTTTTTTTTTCCAAAGGGGGGGCCTGACAGAAAAAGTTTGAGAACCACTTCATTAGACCCTGACGTAGTTTAATTTGTGCGTGTGCGTGTGTGTGTGTGGTGTGTGTGTGTGTGTGTGTGGTGTTGTGTGTGTGTGTGTGTGTGTTGTGGGGTGTGTGTGTGTGTGTGGGTGTGGTGGGTGTGTGTTGTGTGGGGGTGTGTGTGTGTGTGGTGTGGGTGTGTGTGTGTGGGTGTGTGTGTGGTGTGTGTGTGTGTGTGTGTGTGTGTGCAGGCTGAAGAAGCTGCGTGAGACTCTGGTGGCGGTGCAGCAGCTGGATCAGAACATGAACAGTCTGAGATGCTGGCTCGCTCACATCGAGACAGAACTCTCCAGCCCGCTCGTGTTCGAGAGCTGCGACGCCAACGAGATCCAGAGGCAGCTGGACCTGCAGCAGGTGACTGTCCTGTGTAGAGAGGCATTCTGCTGTGTGTGTCGTACGGTGTTAGTGCATATGAATGGTCTGCAGCAGCTGAAATGCCTGTGTTCCTCCAGGAGCTGCAGCGCGACATCGAGAAGCACAGCACGGGCGTGGCGTCGGTTCTGAATCTGTGCGAGGTCCTACTGCACGACTGTGACGCCTGCAGCACGGACGCTGAGTGTGACTCCATCCAGAGCGCCACGCGGTGTCTGGACCGCCGCTGGAGGAGCATCTGTGCCCTGTCCATGGAGAGGAGGCTCAGGTGAGGATATTAAAGCTCTGCCCTGGCCCCGGCTTGAGCCTCTGATCCATGTGTCTGTGATCCTCTCCAGAATGGAAGCAGTCAAAACTAAAAAAGATAATTTGTAGGTTTTTTCTCAAAATCTCAAAATTCTGACTTTTTCAAAAAAATCTGATTTTTTTCTCAAAATTCTGAATTTTCAGCCTCTGATCCATGTATTTATGATCCTCTACAGAATGGAAGGAGTCAAAACAAAAAAAGATAATTTGTAGGTTTTTTTCTCAAAATTCTGACTTTTTCAAAAAAAAATCTAAATTCTGATTTTTTCTGAATACTTCAAAATTGTAATAATCCCTGGTCCCCGGCTTAAGCTTCAACCTCAGATCTGACTTTTTTTTTAAATATCAAAAATGTGACTTTTAACTCCTGCAGGACAAGCTACGCATTTAGTGGCATTAGTAGTGTGAACAACAGAAGAATATGCATGCTAGTTTTATATATAGTCTGTGTCTGGAGCAGGGTGCACTTCTAAGAAAGAAGGAGGTGTGGATGGAGCACCTGGAGAGGAGGAGCTCCAATGCGCGAAACACAAGTTTCAGTTCTGTGAGAACAAACGAGAGAGCATGTTGACGATTGTTATGACCCTTTGGTTTGATGAGCGCTGCTGGTATTATTGTTTGTAACGTGTCCCCGCCTCAGGATCGAGGAGACGTGGCGTCTGTGGCAGAAGTTCCTGGAGGACTTCTCCCGCTTCGAGGAGTGGCTCGTCTCCTCGGAGAGAACCGCGGCGCTGCCCAACTCCTCGGGGGTCCTGTACACCGTGGCCAAGGAGGAGATGAAGAAGTTCGAGGTGAAGAAACATCCGAGGGGAGAATAGAAAACACTGAGCAGGAGGTGTTGCTGGTGATTAACCCTGTGTGTGCTGCAGTCCTTCCAGAGGCAGGTCCATGAGAGCCTGACCCAGCTGGAGCTCATCAACAAACAGTACCGGCGCCTGGCCCGGGAGAACCGCACCGACACCCTCTGCCTCCTGAGGGAGAAGAGCCAGGGAGCCAACCTGCGCTGGGACGCCCTGCAGAGGAGGGTCAACTCCATCCTGAGACGACTCAAGGTCAGACAAGTCAATTCAAGTGTCAAGGCTTTATGTGCTCAGCTGCTACAGTGTAGATACATCAATGAGCAACATGAACATATCAGGATCAGAACTGTTTTATCACCCGGTAGGTCGACACGTACAAGGAATTTCACTTGATGTCGTGGTGCATACACAGATGAGACTATAATAACATTAAGAAATAATACAAAATATAGTAAAATATAGCAGTATTTATATTGAAATAAAAATGAAAAATGTTCTGTTGGTTTGATAAATATCTTACAGCTTGTTTTGAATGTTCCTCTGTCTCTTGAAGTAGCGTAAGTGTCGGCAGAGTATTTGGTCAGATGCTCTTTGGATCCTTTCAGCATCCGTCCTTGTTCCAGTCATACAGACGTGTCCTTTATATAGTCACATGGGGTCCCACTCACTGAGGCGTGTGTCTCCCCCTGCAGCACTTCACAGGTCAGAGGGAGGACTTTGAGACGTCCAGAGACTCCATCCTGGTGTGGCTGACGGAGATGGACCTGCAGCTGACCAACATCCAACATTTCTCAGAGTGTGACATCCAGGCCAAGATCAAGCAGCTCAGGGTGAGGCTGAGCGGCAGCAGGGTGTCCGAGTGAGACAGGGTGTCA